GATCCACCCTTGTTTCTGTTTCCAATTTTTAGTGACATAGATATTTTTTAAATATCCACAATCCTATTATTTATTTCAATATATATATTTTTTTGATTTTCAATTTCTTTTGGATAAAGAAAACAAGTCTGTTTCGTTTTAAAAAATTCAACATTTACCAAAAAATGTCAAATTCAAATTTTCAAAACTGATAGAGCAATATTTTGTATTTTCAGACAATTTAATGCCAATTTTTTCTACATTCTCAATTATGATTTACATATTTTTAAATAATTCATGTAGCGATCTCTTCTATACAGAAAACAATATTTGTCTTTGAATACAGAAAATCGTCAAAATTCAAGAAAAGATGTTCCAAATTTGCAAAATTTCGACCTCATAATATGAACTCTCAACTAAGTATCAATTAAACATCACAAAAACTTAAATACACGCACTATAACTCAAATTTGCCGAGTTTTTTAAGCCTCTTTAATTTTCGGAGATGTCATTGTCACATGTCAATTGCCAGTGTCACCTGTGTCAATTTTTCAATGCGCCCCGTGATAATACCACCATAATAATATCAATTAATGAGTAGTAGGTACCTAAGTAAGTGTAAATGTCAGAAAAATGTTAAACTGGCTAATTGCAAAACAAAAAATGGTATTTTTGCGACATATCAATGAGAAAAACTGACTTTCTTATCACATATACCTATGAATAGTCACATTCTGCACTTAATTGATCATGTTAATATGGTTCGTTCATTCATTTCGCTTGGCTAATCGTAATGGGAAAGCTGTGGTCAGTGGCAGCCCATGATCAGAGAAAATATTGCTTTATTCCACATTGCGCATGGAGATAGAGCCTCTAACGACATTAATAAATATGCTTGATATTTTGAAAATTTTCGCTACAATGGCTTTGTAATGAAAACCCAGATTTTTTTATAAAAATTATGTTTTTTCCTATATAAAATTTCTCACACTTAAATGGCAGAAGCAAAGCCGGGATGTAGAAATAGCAGCGAACATTTTTTTTTTGACTCCCGTAAAAATTTTCCTAGATACGCCCATGGCTGCCACATGCGGCTTGTCGTAGTAGATATACGTCATCATTTTAGTTCCATTCATGAAACGGCGAGAAACAAATGCATACCTTTAATCGATCGCGCCCTCGCGTCGAGGTTCGATCACATCCGTCCTTTGTCCTTTGCGGCCCTACTGATTTCGTTTTGATGGCGTTTTCCTTCCGATTTTCGTGACGTTGATCGCTGGACAAACGACTCGAGCGTAAAAAAGACCGCAAAAGTTGCAACATAGGAAGTGACCGATCCTTTTAACTTTTTAAGAGAGCAGTATGAAGCAAAACGCGTAGGTTTGCAGCTAAAGGCCAGCGATCGTCTGTCTCTGTCGGGTCGGCAAGCGAGCTGCTCGGACGCACAGCGCGGTTACTCTCATGTCAAACTGTTCCATTCATTTTTCAGAACATGGAGTAGAACCAGACAAATATGGCGGACGATAACTTTAAAGTGAGGCTTTTGGAGCGCTTAAAAATCAAAATAGGTAAGTGCTTTATTGCAGTTGAGGTTTTGAGTGGATTTTGGTAAATTGGGTTTAGGGGCCAGTGCGATTTTTGGGGCGATAGCCATTAAATCACGCTGGCCTTTTCGACCCAAGTGTGATTGTTGACATTTTGAGGTTGGCTCAATGCAGGTGGTGAGATTTTATGAATCAAAGTTCTAATTTTACCACTATTTGAGTAATTTTCATTAATAACTCGACGGGTTTGCAGGCGAGGCCAAAAACTTACCAACCAGAAGTCATGGCTCAGCCACCCAAAGGGACGTGTATTGCACCTTGTCTTTGGACCAGGAGGAAATCTTCAGAACGTCCACTGTTTACCAAACTCTCAGGTAAGTCTTCAGAACGGCCAGACTGGCTTTAAAGTGCAATGTGTGAGAAGTTGATGAAAGTTTCAATTGAATTCATCAAGCTTCAATTCTGGGAAGTTTTCAATTCGTGCATCTGTATCGCTGCAAAATCAGGTTTTTCAATTTTCCAACTCAGAATCGCCTTGGATCGATTTTTCTGTAGCTTTTGGTAAATTTCAAATATTGACACCTTGTGTTAATGTCATTTTGACATTTTCTCTCAAGTGCCAAATAAAATAAAACCCTGACACCTAGTGTCTTGATCGACTCGCCATTTAAAATCACTTCCGTTTCGATAACCAACACGAATTAGCGTTTATCAAAATTGATGCTGAGCTAATGCCATTTTTAAGTACATATTTGTGGCGTTAAATGCAGGGGAAATTATCGAAAATTCAGCGAAAAGTTAAACTGAGAATGTTCACACTATGTGCTAACGCCATTTTGACGTTTTGTGACACATTCTTTCAAGAACCAAGTAACGGAAAAAGCTTCTATAACCACCAAAAATTATCATTTATTCAAAATTACTCCGCGCTAATGTTAAAACTTAGTATTTAGGCCGTTAAGATGCAGGATAAGTTATTGGAAATTGTGCAAAAAGTGAAATTGAGAATGTTCTGACCATGTGCTAACGTTATTTTGACATTTAAAAACTACCTAATACCTAAATCTTTAAAATGTCAATTGACTAATGGCGAATTAATTGAAAATCCGTGAAATTTCAGAAATCACAAACGAAGCGCTTAAATATTATAACACATTAATAAAAGTGTGAAAATAGAAACGATTTTGGCCGATTTTCTAAATAGGTATAATTGAGGTTTATCATCAATAAGTACCTATTTAGCCGGAGTTCATGCGCTTTTATTATCTGTGATTAAAGTGATTGATTTTGTATTATTGGACAGACACACATAGACACAAGAATTGAAAACTTCGACACCTAAATAACCCTTTACACTGCACTGAAAATCAGTATTTTTTGCAAGTTTCTTTACTGTCTGCACTCAGTTTATTACCTAGAACTTCTTACCGTCGCTTCAAACCAAACTCATTTTACTAAGTTCTGATTATGTTTAACCAGCTTTTTTAGGTCTACATCAAACTATGAATATTTTTCTGATTTTCAAAACAGTCTCGGAGATAAAAACCCAAACATTATGCATTAAACAGTCTTTTCCATTGACTCGCCGTGTACACGATATGCTAAATAAAAAACGTTTTCATCTAATCTTACATGAAAGTTAGAAACGCAGGAAATCGACACATACGTTGGCTGATTGATTGGACGCTGTCAAATAGCGAATTGGGACGAAACATTAGTGCCGTCCACAGTATGATTAAGAAATACTCAATTAAACATTTTTTCCGATTAGTGTATTACAACTTGTCGCCGACGGGATGGAACTTGCTGGGAAAATCGATTGTTAATTATCTACATTAAAATCAATATTTAAAAAGCCACAATTAAACCTATGGTCCCGCTAGGTGGGGACGCACAAAATGGCTTGCGACTTTAAAGGGCATTAATTATTCTTCGAATCAATCTTCATTGGATGATTCAAGTGCCAACAAGCAACCTGCTTTATCTCCCCATGGCTGGCGCGATCTTCTGTCACCTCAATGAAACGATTCAGAGGGTTGATGTTATTGACTCATTTTATCTCCGAGATTAGGCTAGATGGGTTTTCTGTTTGCGATTACAGATCCGAACCCAACAGCAGTTTTATGCAAATTTGATTTTTTTGCAGCCCATTTTTCGGCGAAGAGTTCCAGTTCGATGTGCCACGGAACTTCCGGTTCATTTCCATCTATGTCTTCGACCGCGACCGGCAAAACAACAAACAGGATAAGGTTCTGGGCAAGGTGGCCATCCGAAGGGAACACTTGGCTTCGTACAACAACAAGGATCACTGGTTCCCGATCAAAGCAGTGGACGCAGATAGCGAAGTTCAGGGCAAAGCCAACATTGAAATCAAATTCGAGCCAGTGTTCAACCGAAGCAAAAACTCCAGTTACAACACCAACACTAGAAAACTGTTTGTGCAAGTGCGGGAGTGTTTAGATCTGACTTTGAAAAACGGTGCCTGTGATCCATATGCCATTATTTCCGTCACCTACACGAATGGTAAGCGATTGTCGAAGAGGACTAAAGTGAGGAAAAAAACGACCAGTCCACAGTTCGAGGAAGTGTTTTCGTTCAATAGTTGTGAGGACAGTGACATTGACACTGAAATTTGTGAACTTCTCGTTTCGATTTGGCACGACACTCCCGGTATGAGTGACGATGTGTTTTTGGGAGAAGTCCGAGTGCAGCTTAAAGGATCCCAACAACAAAGTGTCACCCATCAGAACGCTTGGTAAGTTCACACTGTATTTCAGCCTTTATTGGTAATTTAAATAACAGTTCAGCAAATGCTATATCTGAGGTAAGACATTTGCAAGACTTACTGGATACTGAAAAGTTTTTCAGCGTTCGTGTTTGAGATCGCTGTTTCCATTTCGGAGATTTAAAACGGTCTAAAAATTGAGATTATTTTTCGCACACGGTTTGCGCCAAATTTAATTTACGAATTTTGCTGTTTTCGTTAATGGAACTGGGAAATCTACTAAATTAATGGTTGCATATTTTACTCATGGGCGTCACATAAGGGTGTCTCAAACATAAATGTTTCCCTGTTTTCTGTTTTTGCTTGTAATTTTCCATAATTTTTTAAAGACTTTTCTACGTAGAAATGTTTCGGATTCAGTAAATCCGAAATCGGTGAATGACAAATTATCTCTTCTATTCACGCTTTAAAAAAATGATTCAAAATTGGCGTCGTTCCTCTGGGGGTGTTGTCTGCCGGTGTTATAGGAGTACAGAAAAACAAGTAAAAGAAATTAATTGTTATTAAAAACTGAGAAATTTGGAAAAAACTATATCAGAAATACTGCAGCAATGTTTTTCAAGGTAATCTGCCTAATTAACATTGCGCAAATACCTGTTGCTTCGTAATTATTTAAAATTCCGGTAACCATGGATAAATAGAGAGTGACAATAAGATAGACAAGGATAAACGGTAAATTCATCAGGAGTCGTTGAATGACGGAACCTATCTCGAAATGTCAACCTGTTCTCATAACCTCGAATTCTGCGGGGTTTGGTGTTTACATGAATAATCCCTACAA